GCCAGGGCAGGCTGCTGGGGGCCAGGTAGCGGGTGGTCAGGGCTCTCAGCAGCACAGCAACAGGGGCAAGCAGTGTACAATGGGCTGTTAGGGTTCATTTTTTCCAATGAGCAAAATTATGCACTTAAGTAAGTGCTTTTGGATGAATGACAGGGGTTTGGAGTTCTGTACCTTGTCAGACCTCTTTTTTTCTACACTATTTAGCCTGATGTAGAAGAGAGCTTTGCCACAGTAGGGCCCACAGAGGCTGAAGTTACGGACTGGTAGGACACGAACTATTATACTACAGATTGCAGCTGCATTGTCAGGCCTGTAAAGTAATTTGTTAGAGCCCTTCAAACTGCACCCCACAGCACATTGTTCCTCTGGCCTACAATTACTCACATCCTGGAGTGGTTAGAGTGCTACATGAGCCATTAACAGTGGGATTTTTCTGAAACACAGGTAGCTGTAGTGGATAATTCCCAGAAGCAGCTCAAGAGTGCAAAAAGCAGAAGCCCAGGAGGATAAGGAGGTGGATAGCACATCTGTACATCCGAGTGGACAGCTTGTTGCATTGCATAGAAACATTCATAGTAATGAAGTGAGAGTCTTTGCGTGCCTGTCTGGGGATGGGACACTGCCTTCTGATCAGGATCCAGATTACTCTGTGTAACCTGTTAGGATTGTTTCTGCTAGCAGTGTATCAGTTTGGTGACAAAGACATGAAGGGTCTTTCACACTTTACATCAATGCCTAAGTTTCCCCGTGGGAGCTACTGTGGATGTGACCACAGTAAGCCATGGATGCATGGGATGAAGTGGCGTGTGCCTGAGAGGGGAGGTTAGGGCTTAGATTCCCCATGGCCCCCAGAAACATGAGCTGAAAGGGGCTCATGAATGACCTTATGAAGCCACAACTTAATAGTGGACACCAGGAAACAAACTTTCTTTTATCTGCTCCTCTTAGAGCACAGGATAAGAATGCAAATTCCTGACCATGCTGTTTGACAGTGTCTGTGACGTGGTGTTGAGCCAGGAGCCTCAGTGACTGCTGCTGTGCCTTAATGAGCTCTCTGATGCCCCAGGCTTAGCGTGTTACAGCCTCTGTGGCACGGGTAGAATTGCCAGCTAGCACGAGAAGAGCTAGATGAGCAGCGGTGTCACTACCTGCTTCTCTTCTGTGTCCCACAGCTGCATCCTATGACAAGCGAATTGCACTCTGGGATATTGGGATTCCAGACTCTGACTACAATTTCAAAGCAAGGTAAAGGTTCAAAAACCAGACGTGGCCAGCCCAGGAGCCTTTAACTATCGCAGCGCCACGTAACTGCTTGCTCTCTTTTCTTCTTCTTTCTTTTTAGCCAGCTGCTGGTGCTGGAAGTGCTCTCTATTCCCTTACGGATTGCCCTCGTCCCCAGCTGCCCGGATCAGTACCTGCTGGCTGGCTGTGAAGGTGGCTGTTTTGCCTGGAATATAAAATTGGATAAGAAACAAAAAAACAGGTGAGATCCCAAAGTTGGGGGCATGTATTTGCTTTCCTTATCATCAAAAAGAGCTTGTCCTAGCAAAGGCTTTATTTCTGACTGAGGAGACCTGAGCAAGAAAAAGCAGCATGTCCTACCCAATTTAAAACATCCCTTCCCACAGAGGCAAGAAAAAAATACTAGCATAATGCTAAAGGAGTGTTCAAAGCTGGCAGCCCTGAGCGTGTATCACTGCTCCAGTCTAGAAGGGTTGCAGGAAGGCTGACAGGACTGGAATGCAATACCCTAAAACTGAAGGGCGTGGATCTTGATGCAGTGTAACAGAGCGTAAAGTCTTGGCTCTAGTTCCAGTCTCCCATAAGGCCAATCCTGCTGCTGGTGCAGGAGGTTACCCAGGGAAGGGCACTCTATGGGAGCACAGGAAGAAATGACGACAGCAAAGCAAGTTGAGTCATGCCCTGCTGTCATACCCTAATCCTGAGGTCTGCACAAACAGATGGAGTAAACCAGCAGTCTCTTAAGCAAAAGGGCTGCATTCATTAACCCAGGTGGCCAAAGGCATAATTCCAAGTGGGAAATGATCTGGATTTGGCAAGAGACTTACTAACACATCCCATTACTGTGTGCCCATCCACTGCTCCCCATCCAGGCCTCGACTCATTTCACCCTTGCCTCTATTTCTAGGCCTTTTGATGCCACGTTCCAGTTTCCTGATGAGGATGGAAGCATGACAACATTGCACAGGGTTGATGGTTTGGCTTTTCTGAATGATGATGTTGTGGGTGAGTATAAACACAATAGCCCAGTCCAGAAAAAAGGGCACCTTAGCACATGGCAGGCTGAATGGGGTGCAGCTCCCTTTTCTTCAGTTTGCTGGGGGGTACAGAATGGAGCTGCCTCCCAGAGTCACTTATCTTTCCCTAAACTGTGGGCTAGAGGTGCACAGACACGTCTGGGCAGGACTACCAATGGGGATGGCCCCATCCCCAAAGCATGTTTGGCCAAGTAAGGGCAAAGGGGAAGGGAGAAAGGCTGGTGGCAGCAGTATGTGTTTGTAGGGCAACTGGGGGTTCCCACATCTGGGAGAGTGCTTAAAAGCATGGCCTGGGCCTTTCTGAACAGCTAATGCTTGTTCTGCAGTTCAGGAATGTATTGTGGGATTGAAAATCCCTCTGCAGCCTCCAGTTACCCTGAAATGAGGTAAAAGAGGTGGAAAGAGTTGCCGCTGATATCAGGTCCCACATCTTAAAGCCACCTTCTGGATGAACCACCTTCCCCAGCAACCAGCCTTCATCTTGAGGTTTCCCGTGTCACTGACACAGCCTCTCCCATCTTTCTTCCCTAGTTTCCAAGAGCTCTAAACCAGGATGCATATACTTATGGAGCTGGAGTCGGTCTTTTGACACAAAGGGGAAGGGATGCCAACGAACCACAGCTGCAGTTATTCTGGCTGAGCTCGAGTGGTCCACGACAGACATGTCCTACCTGACACTCAGCACCTGCCCAGGTAGGCAGTGCTCTTCCTCACTCACTGTGGCAGGGATGCTGCACGGATGGAGATTGACTTGGACCAGTGGCCTGGGGAAGCCTGGAGCTGGATTTCAGTCTCCATCAGCCTGGTCTCCACTCTGCTACCAAGAGCCCCGACTTGTAATGTAGCTGCAGCAGCTGTGTATAAATAACATCAGGAATAACTAATTATAGCTCTATCATCTGCCATCCAAGGGAACCACCGAGGCATTGATCAGTGACATGGTCTCCATTGTACAGGGCTTCAGAGCACATAGAGCTGATGGCCTGGCCCTTTAGTGTAGCTGGAGCCATTTTAACATCTCAAGGAAGGGGCAGGACCCACGAGGGGCAGCTGGCTTTTGAGACTAACAGGGAATAGACCAAAAAAAGTCTAAAAAAGGTCAGAAGAAATCCCCTAGTGTTTCTCACTAGCTTCTCTCTACTAGAGCTTGAGAACTGATTTAGCCTTAGGTGAAATGAGCTTTCAGAGCAAGGTCAATTAGCGTATTTGTGCTGTATTATGCTGAAATACCACATCCTCTGTTGGGATCCTGCAGCACTGGCTTGAGTTCTGCATTACAGGAAAGTGGATCCTTAATTCCAGACTTGTTTCCCATCTTCTTCTTTTGGTCCTGCAGCAAAAAACTACGTGTTCTGTGGCGATGAGAAGGGAAGCGTGTGGATGTACAACCTCTCAAGCTACACCAAGGCATGGAGCTCTGCAAAGGGGAAACGCTCCCCACTGCAGAAGATCCCTCCTGCACAGGTAGGTCTCCCTTCTGCCTCAGTGCAGCAGGGAGCAGATTCACACCAGAACATACCTGCTGTTGTCTATACCCGACTCTCGCACACCATTAAAAGTAACCTCTAGAGCATGACCAAGGCCATCTTTCAACTCTCACACAAACCCAGCTGTGACAGGAATTAGGAGCTGTAAAGCAGCTCTGCATTCTGCAGGAGCGAGCAAGTGTTCCTAGCTGAAGGGCCCTCTCAAAGCTGGTGGTTAAACTGGAGAGCCTGATGATACACTTGTGGAGACACCACTTCCCTGCTGGGTTGAGGGGATGGAAGCCAAAGGGAAACCAGAGTTCTTCCTGGTGGAGAAAAGGGCTCATGCACTTTTTTCCTGCTGGACACATCCCTGGCCTTCAGGGATAGCTCTGTCTTGGGCAATGACCGAGCGTCTTGAAAGGACAATCCCCCATACTCTCATATCAGAAGCGGGTGTTGAGCTGCACTAGATGCAGGTATGGAGTGACCCAGTGTTCCAAGAGCTTTTTGCAAGTGCATGCCCGAGGCAGCACTTTCTCCTTTCTGATCAAGTCCATGTGGTTTGGAGGAGCTGCACCACCTCCCTCAGAAAGGGCAAGAGCCTTTCATTCAGCCTCCCTGGGTGGGCAGGGAACCAGACTCCATACAGACCCAGCTGTCAATTAACACTAACTAACATCCTCCCACCTTCAGAGACAGCACCAGCAGCCCTTGCCTATCCAAACTCTCTTCTCCTCCTAGATTCTCCAGTGGCCAGAGCTGCGAGCAAACGGGGAGCAGCTGACTGAAGTCCTAGTAAACAACGTGGTCTCAGACCCCACTTTTACTTACCTTGTTGTCCTAACTAGTGTGAACATAACAGCAATTTGGAAGAAGTCATAGTTCCTTGTCCCCCAGTTTCATGCCTGTGCTTTGAATTAGTGCAGTATTAGTGACTGTTACCCATGTAACCATCACGTTTTTTAGACCCGCTGTTATGTGCAAGAGACAAAACACCAAGAGGAGTTTGTTAAACTCATCCTGTCATTGTAAACACCCAGTTTCTTTTACTGTAAGTTTTCCACAATTGGTGCAATTGTTTTATATAGAAATGACACTTAATAAAACAAAACCCCTCTTGCTGGCACTGCTTGGACTTCTTGGAAAGGAAAAGCAGAGAGTTCATCCACTGCTGTCTCACAGCAGCGGCTCCTCTGGAAGTGCACTCACACCAACCTCACCAACAGCACAAATATTTGCATTAAGGCTCCAATTGGGAAAGTAGAAATCATTTTAATGCCTTATCCATCAGCTCAGACATGACAGTTCTCCTCTTGGCAAAATATATCACCAAAAAAACAAACTCAAAACACCACTGCTGCTTAAACCTGAGTGGGTTAAGGGGGAAAATATTGGCCATGAATGGGAGTTTGAATCCATGATTCACCTAACAAACAGCCACATGGTTCTGCCTCGGAAGTAGAGCCTGCTCTAAGCAGGGTGATTTTACTCGATTCCTTCCTGTTTGTCTTTAATGGCAACCTGTAAAACACAAACACAAACGCTCAGACAAGAACTGTTACTGGGCTGGAGGTGGTTTAAACATTCCTAAGAGTCTCCTGTGAGACACAGCCCCACCACAAACCAGCAGTGGAAACCTCTACCCCATCCAGAGAAATAATACTTCAAGCAAAACCACACCATATTTAGAGACTTGGTGCACTGTGACCTTGTACCAGCGCATCAGAGAACACAACACAGACATTATCCTAGTCATACCCTCCCTGGTTTTGCTAATAGCCTTTTGGGCAGATTAAGTCTCAAAAATCAGAGGCTAAATAAATACAATGGCACAGCGGAGTAAAGCAATGAAAAGTGGTCCAAAACTTCCTGAAACTGTCACAGAAAACACTTGGAAGGATGGAAAATTGTTTTCTACATTAAGATGACTGAGAGAACCGATGTTGGGCACCTAGGGAGTTACCCCCATCAGATGTGCAAATAACCCTTAAGCACAGCCAGGAGGACAGGAGCCAAATAATCATAGAATCAACCAGGCTGAAAAAGAGCTTTAAGATAACCAAAAAATGATGACCTTAAATCAAGTCCAACAGGTCCCCAGCACTGCCAAGGCCACCACTGCCCCATGGCACTGAGGCCTCATCTCCACGGGGTGTGAACACTTGCAGGGACGGTGACTGCAGCCCTGCCCTGGGCAGCCTGTTCCAATGCCTGAGCACCCTCTGGGGCAGGAATTGTTCCTCAGCTCCATCTAAACCTGCCCTGGGGCAGCTTGAGGCCGTTTCCTCTTGTCCCATCCCTTGTTCCTTGGGAGCAGAGCCCAGCCCCTCCTGGCTCCATCCTCCTATCAGGCACTTGTAGGGACCTCTCTTCTCCAGACTGCGGAACCCAGGACACCCCCCCAGGTCCCTCAGCCGTTCCCCATCACACTTGTGCTCCAGGCCCTGCACCAGCTCCGCTGCCCTTCTCTGGCCCTGCTCCAGCACCTAAATGTCTCTCTTGTGGTGAGGGGCCCAGAGCTGAACACAGGGTTCGAGGTGCAGCATCACCAGTGCCCAGTGCAGGGTGACAATCCCTGCCCTGGCCCACTGACACACTGGTGCCGATACAGGCCAGGATGCTGGTGGCTTCCTGGGCACAAGCTGCTCATGCTCAGCTCCATCAGTCAGCACCCACACATCCTTCCCCACGAACAGTTTCCAGCCACTCTTCCCCTGCCTGTAGCATTGCATGGGGCAATTGTTGCAGCCCAAGTGCAGGACCCAGCCCTTTGCCTTGTGGTGCTGCACGGCAGTGATGAAGCTGTTAACCTAAACTATCAGCAGTACCCCTCCTGTTGTTTCACTCTGAACTGCAAGGAGCTCAAAGGAAACCAACGTACCCTGAACCTCTCCTCCAGGAGGGAGAGCTCGCTGATCAGATCTGTGATGGCATTGGTGAACGCCTCTTGTGGGCTGTAGTCAGGGGTGGTTTGGACACGGATGATGATCTTGTGTTCCAGCGGGTGCGGGACCTTGTACCCTGCAAACAACACTTGGGGGTCCTTCAGTAACTGCCTGGAATGGGAAAGCAGCAATGAACAACCCCACAGCACGAATGTAAGTGCTTTTTTATAGCAAAGAAACATTGAAAAAGATAATTTTCTATTAAAAGATCATAAAAAATGATCATTCTATATCAAAAGATAATAAAAACCCATTGTTTTGTATCAAAAGATCATTGAAAACAATCATTTTGTACCAAAAGATCAATGAAAAAGTTTTATTTCAAAAGATCATTGAAAACGATCCTTTTATATTGAGACCATTGAAAAAATCATTTTCTATTAAAAGACCATAAAAAATTATCATTTTCTATCAACATATCAGAAAAAATGGTTGTTTATATCAAAAGATCATTAACAAAGATCACTTTGTATCAAAAAATCATTGAAAAGCTCATTTTCTTTTCAAAGATCACTGAACAATACAATTTTCTATTAAAATATCATTGAAAATGATCGTTTTCTATTAAGAGACCACTGAAAAGCTCATTTTCTATTAAAAGACCATAAAAAATGATCATTTTATATCAAAATATCATAAAAAATGATCGTTTATATCAAAAGATAATTGAAAAAGATCACTTTGCATCAAAAGATCATTGAAAACATCCTTTTTTTATTAAAAGATCACAGGAAAAAAGTTCATTTTCTGTTAAAACACCACCGAAAAGCTCATTTTCTAGTAAAAGCTCATTGAAAACCAGTGGTTTTGAGGACTTGCCCAACACACCCCCTTCCCCCCCCCTAATTTCCTCACGACTTGATGATGTTCCCCAGCGTGTGGTCCTCCTTGTTGATGGTGAACAGGCAGGCGTTGGGCACCTTCGTGTCCTTGTTGATGGAGATCCTAAAGGGATACACAGGGAAGTATAAGCGCCTCAGGCAGTGGCCCTATAGGGCCTACGGGGCCTATAAGGCCTATGGGGCCGCGGGGATCGGGGGGGGAGGCCCGGGCTCCCCGGAGGGGAGCCCGGGCCTCCCCCCCCGACCCCCGCGGCCCCAAAGCGATGCCGCTGCCCCGGCCACAGCCGCTCCCCGCCTCCTCCGCTCACTTCTTCTCGCCCTCGAAGAGGAGGAAGGACTCGAAGGCCGGAGGCGCGTTCATGCCGCCGCCGCCGCCGCCGCTAGGCCCCGCCTCTTCCGCCCGCTCCCGCTGCGGCGGCAGCGCCCCCAGGCGGGCGGGAGGAGTCGGTGCTATTGGCCCGGCGTGATGATGCAGACCGGCGGCGGTGACGTCGGCGGTGACGTCACGAGCGGAGATGGCGGCAGCAGAGGTGGCGTTAGAAGGGGCAATGGTGGTGTTAGCACTTGACGTTGGTGTCACCACCAATGGCATTGATGTCAGTGGCAATGGCATTGATGTCATCACCTGGCATTGATGTCACTGCCAATGGCACTGATGTCAATGCTTGGCAGTGATGTCACTGCTTGCATTGATGTCACCACCAATGGCATTGATATCACCCCTTGGCATTGGTGTCACCGCTTGGCACTGATGTCACCACCAATGGCATTGATATCACCCCTTGGCATTGGTGTCACCACCAATGGCATTGATGTCATCACCTGGCATTGATGTCACCACCAATGGCACTGATGTCACCACCAATGGCACTGATGTCAATGCTTGGCAGTGATGTCACTGCTTGCATTGATGTCACCACCAATGGCATTGATATCAGCCCTTGGCATTGGTGTCACCGCTTGGCACTGATGTCACCACCAATGGCATTGATATCAGCCCTTGGCATTGGTGTCACCGCTTGGCACTGATGTCACCACCAATGGCATTGATATCAGCCCTTGGCATTGGTGTCACCACCAATGGCATTGATGTCATCACCTGGCATTGATGTCACCACCAATGGCACTGATGTCAATGCTTGGCAGTGATGTCACTGCTTGCATTGATGTCACCACCAATGGCATTGATATCACCCCTTGGCATTGGTGTCACCACCAATGGCATTGATGTCATCGCTTGGCACTGATGTCATCCCCTGGCACTGATGTCACCACCAATGGCACTGGTGTCACCACTAATGGCACTGGTGTCACCACCGCTTACACTGATGTCACCACCAATGGCATTGATGTCAGCACTGGCACTGACATCACCACCAATGCCATCAGCAGCAAAACCATGGGTTGACTCCTCCATCGGCATTCCCCAACTGGTGCCACCACAAAGGACACCAGCGGGGCCACCACTGAGGTCGTCAGTGATGCCTTGAGGAGCACCAACACCCGCGATGCCATCAGGGATGGTCCCAATACGGGCACCACCAGCAGTGACACTGGCAGGGATGTGACCAGTGCCTCCACCAGCCCCATCCGTGTCCCCATCCCCATCCACCACAGAGGGCCGGGACAGGGCTGCAGGGTACAAAGAGCTTTATTGCCACCCCAAGGAGCAGGGACACGGGGTGGGGGGGGTCCCTCATGTCTGCAGCTGCAGCAGGGTGGGCGCAGGGGGGGCCGGGGGCTGTGCCTGGCGGTGGCAGCTCTCCAGCTCCCCCAGAACCCCAAAGAGCTGGCGCAGCCCCTCGGGCAGGGGGGCACCTGCAGGGGGGAGCACAGTGAGACCCTGCACCCCCAACAGCACAGCCCCCAATGCCCAGGGCACATCCCAACCATGGCATCCCCAGCACCACCCTACCTTCTCCTTGAGGACCATTTTGGGTGGCCTCCAGCAGCTCCCAGTACTTTTCCCTAGGGATACAGGGAGGAGAAGGATGGAACCTTAGCATTAGATGGGGGGTTTAAGGGGGGTCCCCCCGGGGTTGGGGCTCACCTGAGGGTGTCCCGCAGCCCCTGGAGGTGATGGAACAGGCGCTGAGCCTCCACCGCGGGGTCCATGGGGTCGCTCCAGTCCTGCAGGGTGACCCCGTGCCGGGTCCGGTCACAGCCCGGCCCTGCGGGGCAGCAGTGTCAGGGTATGGGGGGACCCCACCAGCACCATTGCGGGGGTCCCCTCCTCGTACCCATCCTGTCCCTCTGGTGGCAACAGCTCCACTTGTCCCCGCGGAAGACGCCGGGGTGGTAGGCACGGAGCACACGGGGGTTGTTGCCGCACGCCTTGCGCAGGGCTGACAGCCACTGGTTGAGCTCATTCACGCACTGCAGGGGGTGGTTAGGGGTGAAAAGGGGGGTCCCGTGCTGTGACACCCCCCATGCGCGCCCCCCATCTCCATCCCACCTTGCACTGCAGGTAAGCCGTCTCCTGCTGCCCGCCCGCATCCACGTAAACCACCTGCATGACGTGGGAGCTCCCGAAGCTCTTCTCTTCCACCTTCTCTGCCGCAAGGATGTCGGGCAGGGCGATGGCACCACTCTGCTGATGGAGGGGACACACACAGGGGGTCAGTGCCCTCCCGCTGCCCCCCCCACCGCCCCCCAGGACCCCCCTACCTCGGCTCCAGGGCTCTTGCTGAAGCTGAGGCTCTCCCCAGTGAGGCAGAAGTGGAGCTTCTTGGATGCAGCGCTCAGCAGCGGCCCCTTGCCCCGTGTCTTGTGCACAAAGAGCAGCCCCTCCTTCAGCACCGCGCTGGGGGGGGGCAGCGGCCGCCCCTCACCTTCCTCCTCCTCGTCCTCCATCTCCACCAACCGGGTGATGAAGCCCTTCATCCGGGCGATGCCCTGCTGCAGGGTGGGCAGCAGCGGGGCCAACCACGGCTCCTTGGCCCGCCCGGCTGCTGGCTCCATGTTGCCCACCATCTGGATGGCCTGGAGACCCCCGGGACGGCAGCGTCACCGGCGGCACGCACAGCACTTCCCAATGGGAAGCAGGGCAACAGTACCACCCCCCTCCGTGTGCCCCCCATCCCACCTTGGCCAGCAGCAGCAGCGTGCGGCTGGTGCGAGCATCAGCGTGAGCATCCCGCAGGTGGAACAGCTTAGGGGTCATGATGGCCGGAGAGAAGAAGCGGAGGCAAAGGAAGCTGGTGACGGCCACGAACTTGATGTGCTGCAGCCAACAAGGGTGGGGGGGGGGGGGGGGTCTGTCCCAGCACAGGACAGCCCCGGCAGCGCATGGACCATTGAGGGACATGGAGTCATGGAATGGTTTGGGATGAAGGGACCTTAAAGCTCATCCAGCTCCAGCCCCTGCCATGGACAGGGACACCTTCCACTAGAGCAGCTTGCTCCAAGCCCCATCCAACCTGGCCTTGAACACTGCCAGGGATGGGGCAGCCACAGCTAACCCTGACTTCTTCCTTATATCCAACCTAATCCCCCCATCTCAGTTTGAACCCGTCACCCCTTGTCCTATCATTACAGTCCCTGATGAAGGGCCCCTCCCCAGCACCATTGTAGCCCCCCTTCAGATCCTTGCTATTTGGTCCAGCACAGCCCCACTGTCCCCCTTGTGGGCTGCCCCATGCCCAATAGGGACCCCATCAACCAGAGCTGGGGACTGCCCCTGTTCAACCCCAGCCCAACCTGGTGCTGTGGGAAGCGCTCCCCGACGCGCTGGAAGAGCAGCCGGAACGCAGCACGGATAACGGGGGGACACATGGGAGCCGACCTGACGATGGCATCCAGCAGCTCCTCCAGGTAGGACTGGAGGTGCTGGCGGCCCTGCTCGATCACTTCGCCCTCCGTCTGCACCCGGTGCAGCCCCGAGCACCTGCGGGCACCGCCATTGTCACCACCCCATGGCCAGGGTCCCCCCCTGCCCCATGGCCCCATGCACCCCTTACCCAACATCTTTGGTCTCCACCTTGCCGGGGTCCAGCTCCACGTGCTTCTTCTCCTCGAACACGCGGTTGATGGTGGGGCCCAGCACAGCGTGCAGGTACGGCAGCCCCGTCACCTGCAGAGGGACCACGCAGGGATGCTAATGGGGGGCACGGCCACAGGTTTGGCACCACCACCTCCACAGTCCCTGGTAAGGGTGAGCCAGGGGATGATCTCCAACCTCCCATGCAGAGAACAGGCACAGCCCCACCAGCCCTCCCAGCAGCACTGGGAGCTGGCCCCAGTGGGGACAGCCCAGAGCCAGGTTTCAGGCACTGTGGCACCTTGAGGAAGGACTCCATCGACTTGGAAGCCAGGGAGTTGCTCCGGAACAAAGTGTTGGGCTCGCCTGCAAAACAGGAGAGGGTCTGCGGCCTGGGGGACAGCCACAGGTCACCCCCCAAGGCAGCTACAACATGGGGTTACTTCTATGGGCTGCGCCTTCCAGCCCCAGCCGTTTCCATGGGGATTCCCTAACCCCAGACCACTTGCTCCTCCACCAACCTCAGCCCAGGAGCTGCTTGGGATGGACCCAAGGGATGCCCCCCCCCACCCCGGAGTACATGAACCTCAACCAGCACCCCCAAAAATCACCACGCTGAGGTTTTGCAGCCCCAGGAGATGGTTGGAAGCCTCAAGATCCGCTTCCTGCTCCCGCCTTACAGGGCTTGGCCAGCTCCAACTCGAAGAGCAGGTCCAGGAGCTCCTTGGCCAGCCCTTGGCCCAGGAAGAGTTTGACCAAGCTGACGGCGACCTCCTGCCGGCACTCGGCTGTGGTGGTTTCATCCAGGAGGGTGACCAGATGCACTTGGCCATCCTGGTGGGGACAGGCACCGCGATGCCATGGGCAGGGGCACACCGGAGCTGGGGGACACCGGGTGCTTTGCGTGGACCCTCACCTGGAGCCCCGACTTCACCTCCTGGCACAGGAGCTGGACCAGCGGCCGGTAGCAGTGCGAGGGCAGCACCGTCTCATCCCGCAGCCTCACCTGCAGCTGCAGCGAGCCCAGGCTGCCTCGGCGCCTGCGGGGGCACGGGGTGGAGGGAGGGATGGGCAGGTAGGTAGGTAAATACATAGGTAGGTGGGTAGATAGACAGGTGGGTAAATGGGTAGATACATAGGTAGGTGGGTGGGTAGATGGGTAGGTGGGTAGATAGGTGGGTGGGTGGGTAGATAGGTGGGTAGATGGGTAGATAGATAGGTGGGTAGATGGGTAGGTGGGTAGATAGGTGGGTAGATGGGTAGATACATAGGTGGGTAGACGGGTAGATGGGTAGATAGGTGGGTAGGTGGGTAGATGGGTAGGTGGGTAGATGGGTGGGTAGATGGGTAGGTGGGCAGATAGGTGCGTAGATAGGTGGGTAG